CTATTGTTAGGTTAGGTTTTGTTATATTGTTGGAAGACTTATCTATTGTTTGTCCATTGTTTTCTCAACCTATCATGAGACCCGTTCCGAGCGGTGCTACCTGGCTCCAACTAGGTGTGTTTAAAACATGCAGTATCAAGAATGTGGTATTAATTTGATGTTGACTATTGAAATGATTTCAGAATCAACTTGAAAAGGAGTGTGACCTGCTGAAGKCTCAGCTTAATGAGAATGCAAGTATTGCTAATGATTTAGAAAAGGTGAGACTCTTGCCGTATTGTAATTCTATTTACTGTACCAGATTTGTTTTGGACCAAAGGACAGCAGATATACGCACTGCAGGGTTCGTACAGTCTTGAAAAGTCCTTGATTTTTGAGCTAGGTCCTTGAATAGTCCTTGAATACAAATTTTCCTTGAAAAGTCCTTGAATTTGGAGGAAAGGTCCTTGAAAATGATAATTTAGTCCTTGAATCAGTCTTGGTTGTTGTGAAGTAATGTTTTAAGGATCAATTTAGGCAAGCTTTGAAGAAAAATGATAAGAATTCAATCCTTTTTGCAATACCTGTTAGTACTGTTGTCCAATATGACGGCCAAAAGATTAGGAAAATCTTCTCTAAAAGATAAAGTTCTTAAACAAAGTTAAATTATTGTTGCTGTTTGGTAAGACACAGGTTTAGTAAGTTTACTGTATCTTTTCTCTTTGTAATTGGTGTCCTTGAAAGTTGAACAGTAATCCTTAAAAAGGCATTGAAAAGTCCTTGAATTTTGTATGAAAAATTCTGTACGAACCCTGGCACTGTGTCTGGAATCTGGTTAAAGATTATTTTACAAAACGCATATGTTGTTTAGTGTAGAGTGCTTTCGAAAACATTATGAACAGGTATCTGTAACTGGAACAATAAGGATTGTCTGTAATGAAGAGACCGTGTCGCAATAGAAGGTTTTTCCTATTTTGACACCATTTCTCTGAGATATGTACTTTACAGGCAAATCCTTCAGATGACTCTAGCAAGTTATATTAAGATTTGATTTGTATTTTTTATAGGAAAAATCGTCCTACCAAGAATTGAAACAAAAACATCAACAACTACAAAACCACTACCAAAGGTWCATGATAATATTATAAGATATTAAACCATTTTAGTCCAATCGGCTGAGCACTTCATGCTCTATTAGAGTCTGATTTTTCAATAGTACAGTATGACTGGTAAAAGGAGGTAGTGAAGGAAACAGAAGCAATTGATAAAGAGAAAAAAGGTTTTTGTCTGCTTTCTTCACCTCTTCCCTCAGCTTTATTCTGTTGATGATAGTGAGTCTTATTTCATCACTATGTTGATGGATTTCGTATTTTGTTGTTTTTTTCCAGTGCACTAAGCAGTGAACAGCAGCTTGTGACATCAAATGAAAGGTTAAAAAGCTCYATAGAATTATTGAATAACGAACTAGGTAAGCATTTTACTTGTTCGTGATATGTGAGTGAACGTTGGCCAATGAATACATAGAAAAGTGAACGAATGAAACAATACAATGAATAAAATACAATGAATGCCATTCAAATGGAAATCATGATCTTTTAAAGTGCAATATTAGATGAAGTACTACACAATAGTAACAACTTTGATTCTTTTTATTGTCCTTTCAATTATTCGTAGTTTTTTAAGTTTTCTAGTCGTATATTTACAGTATGAGTGAAAAAATGGGTAACAAACAAGCAGAGTGTACATGTATATAATCTACTTCATTTGGTGTACTACCGCTATGGAGTGGGAGTAACCCGGTTGTTTGTATATAATCTGCAATAGGTATAGCAAGATCAGACATTCAAAAAMTACAAGATGAGCATGCCAATACACTTGAACAGCAAAGGTATTCATATATTTATTAACACACATGTA